TGATGGTGACGACATTGACAACGAAGCTATGTTAAGTCCCTATTGACCTTTAAAAAATGTGGTAAGGTTTAAGGTTGAATTTTGAGAATTTTTGGAATCTTTGGCTTTATGTTCTTGGTTCTCTGAGTTGTTTCTAGATTTCTATTCTTTTTACTAGAAAAAAAATGTAGATAAATCATGAAAAATGATATCATATTTTTTAACATTTGTTAGATTTTAATTGGCCAAAGGCCATGTAAGGTTGCTTTTTTTTTTTTTTAATGGTGTTAGATATTATGATACATTGTCACACGATAATGAACCATAAACAATCACTTTTTGACTATTATATTTCAAATATACCCTTTGGAATGCTTAAATCTCAAAATGGAATAATATTCCATTTGGCTTTTGAACTATTGCATTTTTTCCAATATAATACCTAAAAAAAGAAAAAAATTTCTAATCAGGTACATAAACTACATTTTCATATATTAAATTGCCTTAACCTTTAATATTGTTAAAGAAAAATGTTGACGTGGCATTTAAATGTTGATGTAGATTACATATGGCTCTATATGGCCTACATGTGACTGCCACATGTTTTTTTAAATAAAAAATTCTTAAAATATAATTTTTAAGAAAAAGTTTTTTTAATTAATTTTTAGTCTTTAAAATGCAATTGGTTTAATTCTTTTATCAAAATGACATATTTTTGATCTTATTATATATGGGCAAAAATTAGATTTTTTTATTTTTTTCATTTTTTCTCTTTTGAGAGTTTTTCTCTCTTTCAGGATATTGGCCACCATATCAGTTACCCCACCGTTGCTATATTTTGTACTTGTCAGACCACCATTAAAGTTTAAAATTTATGATAAACCTTATTTTTGCCTCATCTCTAATCTAGGATTATATTCTCGAAAATTGACCTCTAATGGCTTTAATTTGAAGTCAAAGCAGTAGCCTTTCACTGACGTTTTGGTCTTTTCCACTATCCGATTGTTTTGAGTTTTTAGTATGTTGTTTCTCTTATCATCTTCTCTTCTTTCATTATTGGATCTCTTAAAAAATCATGCTAGCCACCACCAACCACCAACCACCACAACTGCCATTGCTTTTGTTGTTGGTTTTCCCTTTTATGGCTACTTTTTTCCTCATGGATAACCTAAGAAAAAAATTAAATAACCCTTACAGCCAAAATTTTTTTAGGTGTGATTTAAAGCTTTTTTCCTTTTGTTTTACTTATTGATAGGCTTGTGTAATTTTGTGTTTGTGTTCATTACTGATAAGCTTGTGCGATATTTTTGTTAATTATTGTAAAATGTTTTTCTCATTACCAAAACGATATGGTTTTAATGATCTGGGGATGTCAATTTGTTCCTTTTAATACTTTTTGTTAGAAAATTTAGTAATTAATTTTGGATTGATAATATATTTAGGTGTTATCCAACTATAACATTTGTCAAATTTTGAAATAAAAACCAATGGTAATGGTGATGGTGAGAAAAAGAGATGAAACTAATGATGAGGGCAGACACCATTATAGAGATTTTTTGTTTAAGAGAAAGACAATGAAGTATTGGTGATGGCGATGACATTGATGACGGAGCTACGTTAAGTCCCTATCAGTTTTTAAAAAGCATGGTAGCGTTTAATGTTAAATTTTAAGAATTTTTGGAGTCTTTGACTTTGTGTTCTGGGTTTTCTAAGTTGTTTCTAGATTTCTATTCTTTTTATCAAAAAAAAAATGTAGATACGCCATGAAAAATAATATGGTATTTTTTTAACATTTGTTAGATTTTAATTGGCCAAAGGCCATTTAAGCTTTTTTCTTTTTAATGGTGTCAAATATGGGGGTACATTGTTGTATGAAAATGAAATGTGAACAACCACTTTTTTACTGTTATATTCCAAATATACTTTTTGGAATGCTCAAATCTTAAAATGGGATAATATCCCATTTGACCTTTGAATTATTGCATTTTTTCCAATATAGCACCTAAACAAAAAGAAAAAAAAAATAATCTAGTAAATAAACTACATTTCTATGTATCAAATTGCCTTAACCCTTAATATTGTTAAAAAAATGTTGACATGGCATTTAAATGCTGACGTGGATTACACATAGCTACCACACGGCCTATAAGGACTGCCACGTGTCTTTTTTAAAAATAAAAAATTTTACAGTATAATTTTTAAGAAAAAGTTTTTTTAATTAATTTTTAGTCTTTAAAATGCAATTGGTTTATTTTTTTTTATCAAAATAACAGTTTTGATCTTATTATATATAGGCAAAAATTAGATTTTTCTTATTTTTTTCTTATTGTCTCTCTTTTCTCTCTTTTAAAGTTTTTCTCTTTTTTGGGATGTTGGCCACCACTGTCAATTGTCACACCGTTGTCGTACCTCGTAGCCATCAAGCCATCATTAAAGTTTAAAATTTATGATGAACCTTATTTTTGCTTCCTTATCTTGAATGTGAGATTAGATTCTTGAAAATCGATCTCTAATGGCCTAGATTTGAAGTTGAAGTAGTAGCCTTTCATTAAAGTTTTTGTCCCCTTCCACTGTCCGATTGTCTTGAGTTTTTAATATATTGTTTCCCTTATCATCCTCTCTTCTTTCATTGTCGGATCTCTCAAAAAATTATGCTAGCCATCGATCGCTGACCACCACAACTGCCATTGTTTCTGTTGCTGGTTTTCCCCTTTATGACTATTGCTTTAAGTTTGACCAATTCTTAAGGACTATTCTTTCTTAATGGATAACCTAAAAAAAAAAATTAAACTGCCACGACCTAAAATTTTTTAGGTGTGATTGAATTCTTTTTTATTTTTCTTTTGCTTGTTGATAGGCTTGTGTAATTTTATGCTTGTGTTCATTGCTGATAAGCTTGTGTAATATTTTCATTAATTATTATAAAATGTTTTTCTCATTACCAAAATGATAGAATTTTAATGTTATTGGGATGTCGATTTTTTTCTTTTAATACTTTTTGTCATAGAAAATTTAGTAATTAAGTTTGGATTGATAATATATGCAGCTGTTATCCAACTATAACATTTGTCAGATTTTAAAATAAAAACTAATGATGAGGAAAAATGATGGAACTAATGATGAGGGATAGAACTAATGATGAGGGCAGACACTATCATAGGGATTTTTTTGTTTAAAAGAAAGATAATGAAGTGGTGGTGATGGTGGCGACATTGATGGCGGAGCTATGTTAAGTCTCTATGGGCTTTTAAAAAGTGTGGTAGGGTTTAAGGTTGAATTTTGCGAATTTTTGAAGTCTTTAACTTTGTGTTCTTAATTCTTTGAGTTTTTTTTTTAAATTTCTATGCTTTTTACCAAAAAAAATATGTAGATAACTCATGAAAAATAATATGGTATTTGTTAACATTCGTTAGATTTTAATTGGCCAAATGCCATGTAAGCTTTTTTGTTTTTAGTAGTGTTAGATATTGAGGTACATTGTTAGACAGAAATAAAGTGCAAACAACCACTTTTTGACTATTATATTCCAAATATACCCTTTGGAATGCTCAAATCTCAAAGTGGGATAATATCCCATTTGGCCTTTGAACTATTGCACTTTTCTCAATGTAGTACTTAAAAAAAATCTAATAAGATACATAAATTACATTTTTATGTATTAAATTGCTTAAAGCCTTAATACTGTTAAAAAAATATTGATGTGACATTTAAATACTGACGTGGATTACATACGATTGCCACATGACTTACATGTGATTGTCACGTGTCTTTTTTAAAAAATAAAAAAAAATTAAAGTATAATTTTTAGGAAAAATTTTTTTTAATAATTTTTAGTCTTTAAAATGCAATTGGTTTAATTTTTTTTTATCAAAATGATATAATTTTGATCTTATTATATATAGGTAGAAATTAATTTTTTTTAATTTTTCTTCTTCTTTCTTTTTTCTTTCTTTTCAAAGTTTTTCTCTTTTTTGAGATGTTGGCCACCATTGTCGCTTACCATATTATCGTTGTACTTTGTAGTCGTCAGACCTCCGTTAAAGTTCAAAATTTATGACAAACCTTATTTTTGTCTCTTCATCTCGGATTTGGTATCAAATTCTCCAAAATCGACCTTTAATGGCTTAGATTTAAAGCCAAAATAGTACCCTTTCACTAATGTTTTGGTCCCTTTCCACTATCCGATTGTTTTGAGTTTTCAGTATATTGTTTTCCTTATCATCCTCTTTTCTTTCATTGTCGGATCTTTCAAGAAATCACGCCAGCCACCACTAACCACTACAATTGTTATCGTTTCTGTTGCTGGTTTCCCCCTTTGTGACTACTGTTCTAAGCTTGACCAACTCCTAATAACTATTCTCTCTTCATGGATAACCTAAAAAAAAAAAATTAAACAACTCCCATGGCTTAAAATTTTTTTGGCGTGATTGAATGCTTTTTTCATTTTATTTTACTTGTCGATAGGCTTGTGTAATTACTGAAATGATAAGGTTTCAATGATCTAGGGATGCTAAAATTTTTCTTTTAATACTTTTTGTCATAAGAATTTTAGTAATTAATTTTGGATTGATAATATATGCGGCTGTTATCCAATTATACTATTTGTCAAATTTCAAAATAAAAATCAATTGCAATGACGATCGTAAGGAAAAAGGATGTAACTAATGGTGAGAGATGGAACTAGTGATAAGGGTAAACATTATTATAGAGATTTTTTATTCAAAAGAAATATAATGAAGTGGTGGTGATAGTGATGACATTGATGATAGAGTTATGTTAAGTCTTTCTAGGCTTTTAAAAAGCATGATAGGTTTAAGGTTGAATTTTACAAAATTTTGAAGTTTTTGATTTTGTGTTCTTGATTCTCTAAGTTGTTTCTAAATTTTTATTCTTTTTATAAAAAAAAATGACGGATAAATCGTGAAAAATGGTATAATATTTTTTAACATTTGTTAGATTTTAATCGACCTAGGGCGGTATAAGCTTTTTTTTCTTTAAACGATGTTAGATATCGAGGGAGGTCTATTATTATACGGGAATGAAGTTTAATTATTTGATTAAAAAATTTTTTTATTTAAATATCACGTTAAAAAATGCAATAGTTCAGAGAGCATTTAATGTATTGTCCCTCTCAAAATTTCGAGGCAGGCGGCAGCAAGTATTTAAAAGCCAGGCCATCGCCAGGCAAAGTCCACCAACGCGTGTTCATCACTTTAGTCTTGAGAGAGATCCTCCCTTCCCTCCTTCATTCCTTCATCCTAATTCATTCAGGTAAATTCCAACCTCGCTCTTTCTTTCAATCTGCATTTATTTTTATCATTTTACTCTTCTCATCTGATTGGATCAGATCTGATCATTCTTCTTCTTTTGTTTTCTTTTTTCAATGCCAACCTAACGCCATCTTTATCTGTCTTCTCATTCGATCTGTGTAAAATTTATTACCACTTTTTTCTTCAATGTCTTTTATTGCCTCTTTTGCTGCTGCTATACATCAGATCCCTTCTTCGTCTTGTGTGCAAAATTAACCACATCATCGTCTTTTATTCGGATCTCTTGCTTTTCTTAATTTCTTACTCTTTTTTCCTTCTTCTTTTCCATTTATGCAGGTTAAAGGGGCTCATGGGAACCGTTGACGCTGCAAACAAGGTAATGACGATTAAGAAATTTACTCTGTTGATCCAATTGTTTTTCAAAAAAATTAGTAAGAAACATACTTTTGGAAAATTGGTTCCCTCCCCAAGCATCTTTATCATGGATCCGCAAATTTCCTACCAAATATGCTTATGACGCTATATTCTAACTACAGGATGTCAATGTTAGCTTGGCCGACAAAAAGCCAACAGTTGTTTTTGTTTTGGGTATGCGACGTCTTCTTCTTCTTCTTGTCTCTCTCTCTTTTTTTTTTTTTTTTTTTTTTCTGTTCTTAGTAGTTTTACATTTATCTTTTCACCCAGTTAATTTTCTTCATGTTTGTAAATGCCTACGGCTCTTGAGTTTTTTTCTTTTTGTTCATTGATCAGGTGGCCCCGGCAGTGGAAAAGGTACCCAGTGTGCAAATATAGTCGAGCACTTTCATTACACCCATCTCAGTGCTGGAGATCTTCTCCGAGCAGAAATTAAGTCTGGTTCTGAAAATGGGTATGACATACATACATGCCTGCAAAAGCTAGACATGTATAGGTTTCTACCTAATTCTAGACATTTCATTAACGCTTTGATCTTTATGCATGATTCAAATCTGTAGTCAGCATCAATTTAGAAAAATATATAACTTCTAAGACTTATTGCTTTGAGAAAAAACCTTGTTTCTAATGATTGATTATCGATGTTATCCCTCCATGTAGCTTGCTTCTTTTGATATCTGTTCAAATTTGTAATCTAGAATGTTTTCATTGAATATTATTGGCGTTTCTACCCCCAACTTTTGAAATTAGACAAATAAAGTTTATCCTTGCAAATTTTCTAGGTTTAACTTCTATTCCCCTGCATCACTAGATAAGCTGTTTGTTTCATCTGTTTTGGTTAAATTCTGAGGACATGCCTCTTTTGGGTCCTGAACCTGAACTGCATGTTTTCTGCATTTGTTGCATATTGACATTGAGTTAGGGGCAGAAGTGGGTGCATGCTTATGTACTAATCTGGTTTGTAATTTTTTAGACCTATTGTTTATATATGTAGTGTTCTTACTTGTTGCATTTGAACCATTTTCCCCATGCCCCCTTTTCTGCAAGATTATAATTAACATGTGTTGTCTTCTGATCTGCAGAACCATGATTCAGAACATGATCAAAGAAGGAAAGATTGTTCCTTCTGAGGTCACAATTAGGCTTCTCCAAAAAGCAATGTTGGAAAGTGGTAATGACAAATTCCTAATTGATGGTTTTCCTCGTAATGAGGAAAACCGTGCAGCATTTGAAGCTGTTGTAAGTCTTTATCATTCTTTGTTCCCAGATTTATTCTTTCAATTTACATGCTATTGGGCTTTTCTTTTACCTAGCCTTCTCAGCATCATTCAGTCAAGTACTCTAACATGGTGAAAACTTGGTGGTTCTGCAGACAAAAATCGAACCAGAGTTTGTCCTGTTTTTTAATTGCCCTGAAGAAGAGATGGAGAGGCGTCTTCTGAGTAGGAACCAGGTTACTTGATTCTCAATCTCTCTGGATCTCTCTCTATCTAGGTTGTCTATGTGATTTACATTAGAAGATTTCTTTGTTTCTTTTTGTTTTGTGCCATTTTATGTTGTTTAAACTGTTTGTCTTTATCTACATAATGAAGGGAAGAGAAGATGATAACATCGAAACAATAAGGAAGCGATTCATGGTGTTTCTACAGTCCAGCCTTCCTGTGATTGAGTACTATAAGGCCAAGGGGAAGGTCAGAGAGGTAATATTCTGTCTGAAGTGTTTGATTAATTACTAGATGATTGGCACAGTTACCTCAACTTCAAATTTTGTTGCTTTGATGTTTAGATTGATGCTGCAAAGCCCATAGAAGAGGTGTTTGAGGCGGTTAAAGTTGTGTTCATCCGAAAAGATGAACAGGTAAAGGGTCATGGGTTTGCCCTTCTTTGTTAGAAAACAAAACTAAGAAAGTGGATATCACTGCATTTGTAAATATAATAATTTAAAGGTATCCAATCCAATCATAGTCGTATATGTAGTAGGTACTTATTATTTTTCTTTGAAGCAATGATAGATACATTATTAAATGAATGTATTTGTTATAGGAAGAAAAGTGGATACCTATGTGATTGCAAGATGAACAGCATGGGATGTTGGGATGTGAAGCCAAAAAAAGGGAGCTTGTCCAGAGCATGAACTTTGTATCTATGTGAAATTAAAGTTTAATTATCATAAGAAGAAAAAAGAACACTATGACTATTTCTTTGAAACAAGGTGTGGGATGATAGTTTGATATTTTGAGACATGAAACACAGAAAGGTACTATGTAATAGGTTGGACTTTGCACCTTAGGATTTAGGATGAGATATTGTGTTATGGACATTAGGGATCCAGTAGAAGATCTAGGTTATGGGCTTCTCCAACTAGGAAACAGAAAATCTCTCTCCTAATTCTATCTCTAGAGGAATAATAATAGGGAAGAAAGAGGTGATTGTATGGAACCAGAAAAGTTGTAGGACTTGTCAGCCTGAATTTTGCATCATAGGATTCAACATGAAATTCTTACAAAAATATCCCGTGCTACAAGAACTCGGAAAATGTATGTTCCCTCAAAATAACATAGCCCCTGGCAACTGATCTTTGAAGTTGAGAAATAAATTATTAGCATTTTAGGATATAATATTTGGGTTTACTTAGCAACCCAGGAGGATCATTTGAATCAGTCTCGATCCATTTACTAGATTTTATATGATACTCTCAAAGCACTGAAGAATTGTTTGATTAGTTAACATATCTGGTTCAAAACCCAGAAAACATCTTGGTTTGCATCTTCCACTCTTGATTGATATATGTGGCATATGCAGGTCACTGCCTAGGCTTTGGAGCTCCACCAGTGGAATTAGCATATTCATTCAAGGTGACATCTTTATCTGTGAATGGCAGTGTCTTAAAGGTTGACTCATATTTTATCTGCCAATTTTATGTTTAAAGGAATCCTTGATCTCTGCTTTATCGAGCACACATTTTGTCAGTGATATCATTTTCTTTCGTGCAGGTTATATGTCACAGTTTGCTGCACATTACTGTATTCTAACGGGCAAGTTTTTTTGTATCACATAGCATTTGGTTTATAATTACATTACCTGATGAAGTTCATGCCTCTTATGAAGTTCATGCCCCTATATTCTTTTTATCGTATTTTCTCATTCTAATAGCATTTTTAGTGCTGATAATCACAATAAATGTTCTGGTTTACGCGAAATTCTTATTCTCTGCATAATTAAGTTGCCACTGTGAATGCTTCGAAGGTAATGTTATCATTGGAGGCCACCGACACTGGCATCTAATATGTGTATTGGTTGTCCTGATTGGAGATACTAAAATCTGAAACGTAATTGGATCCCCCAGTATTTGCACCTTTATCATCATCATTGTCTTGAACTCGCCTCCATTTTGATAATGCAATTGAAATCACTAAAGGTTTGATACAATTCCAACTTGGAAACACTGATTAGCTGTTACCCACGGTGCATTGATGACAGAAGACCCTTTTTGTTTTTTGTTTTTTTTTTTTCTTTATATTTCTTTAAAGACTAACTCAAAAAAGTTTTCCAAAACCTTTTCAACAACTTGAACCCCAAGGCAAAGCAGAAGATTTATGACTACAGTTCTTTCCAGTGGTTGGCACTAGCACCGTTGTCTTCAGCCTTCAACGCCACTTCATGTTCGCTACTGTGATTGTCATTTGGTATTACTTCTAAGTTCAGAGTAAACTGCCTGTTTCACCAAGACGAACCATATAGGTTTAATAAAAAAATAATCCCAAGTTTACCCTCAATTCTCTCATTCTTTAGGGGCTCATAAGACATGGCAAATACATCAGCTTCCCTTGACCTCTCAGCAATTAGCTTCCCTATAACCTTACAGGCATTATCGTCGGTGAGTGATGGCAATGCGTACCCCAGGTCCTTTGGCGTTTTTGCCGGTATTCTTGTGCATTGATTTGGAATGGACGAATTCTTTGCTTTTGAAATACAAATATCCTTGGTAAAATGCTTGACAGGATTTAAGATGCTTTCCCACTATGCAAGTTGAAATAGCAGCAGCTGCTAAGCGAGGCCTAAGAGAGGTTTTGGGTTGAAAGTGAGAAGACAGTTATCCGATTGGTAGATATAGAATCTTCACATTTGACTGTAGATTTCTTGCTGAGGCTTCCCCAGAAAGTATATAGAGGAGGAAATCCCACAGCTACAACTACAGACTGGTACTCGGAGGATAGGTCGAATTTTTCCTCGGATGTTGGTATGATGTCTGAAACACTTGAGAACACAATTAAGGTTTATAGACTGGTCAAGGTATTATTTTGACGAGTAATGATGTTGATAGGCCAACAAAATAATAGTACCACAGATTAATATAATCAACAATAAAACAATTATACAGTCCACAAACGGCTTAAAAGTTAAAGGGAATGTTTTATTTTATTTATTTGAAAGCTCTAATACGTACTATATGGAGGCATGCATGGAGTCTATAATTCCAACGAGACACATGATTCCTGGATAGAAATTTAAATGCTTACTACATAGAAAATAACATATATAGATATCAGTAGCTAGATATGCAAAACACCATGCGATGTCTGCCAATATTTAGGATTTTGATTGAGTTGGGACCCTCAGAGGCTGAAATCCATGCTTGAGACTTGCTTCCCAAACTTTCTCAATGTTTGACATGGTGTAACCACATTCATGCTCCTCCCAGCCTTCCAGTGCATGCACTAACCCAGCAATGCGCCAAACGCTCATCACCCTCCGTGGCAGCCAGTTCTGTCAAATTCAAATGCTAGCTTTTATATCAACATGGTAGAACTAGAATACTGAAACTTTTTAATTCCTGTGATGCAGGAATGAGCATCAATTATGAATTAATGTGGGAAATGAAGAATGCTCATGTTCAACCTCACAAGAATCAACATTCTCAAGGGCCATCGGAGTCTGCATTGCTGGTGTGGTGTGATAGAAGCAGTCTTTCCGCAATTTTTTTGGTGGGAATTGCGAAAAGGGAATAAATAGTGTTCCTTTACTTGCCTTCCTTTGTTCTGCTTCAGTCAATTCATCTCCCACTAACCATGTCTGCAACATATTCATCATAACTTTTTAACCGTTCCACTGTATAGTCTTGCAGTGGTAATTAAGAAAAACAGTGAGAATCGACTTACCTTGTAAGAGTAACTCTTTGACATAACTAATTTGTCTTCAGACTTTGTGCCAAATGATTTATTAAGCTTCTCATATTCTTCCTCATGAAATACAGCGATCTACATTAAATTAAAATCATGCTAGGAAATTTATGAGAAAGAAGAAAATGATAAAAAGTGTCCAAAAACAATGCAGTATTAGAGTTAGAGCTTCTTTATTTCCTTATGCAGGTGAAAAGGAGAAAAATCAGGCATAGTTGAGAAATTGACAAGTGAGGCACTATAAGTTCACCTCTTTTGGGGCCCAGTTAATGAGTAAGCAATGGGATGTCCTAGTACCTGGATGCCCTTCTGGCAGAGGGCAGAGGCAATAGCATAAGCAACTTTAGTTAGGTTTCCTCTAAGGAGTACTTGGGTTGTTCCCTTTGGTATGCTATTCAGCAGAACTGGCACTGCCAAGCTACTCCCATCAACCAACTTCACTTTAAGCTGGGGATGCTTTTGCACATACAGCCAACCGTGCCTGTTGAGCTCTTCACCCTGCACATTTGAGCATCATAGTTTTCTGTTAGAAAAAGTTTAAAGTTTATTTATTTATTTATTTTTAATGTAATTATCCTGCGAACTGTTTGTCCCACCAACTGCTTATTGGAATAGGGGGGAAACCAGAAAACACTTGCCTGATTCATGAGGCCTAGACTCAACACTCTAGCACCTTTTTCCTCTGCCTCTAATATGGCCTCCTCAATCAAGTTATTGATGGATTCTTGTTGCCATTTCAAGCGGTACTGAAATTAACAGCAATGTCAACGATAAAGATTATACATATACGTATGTATGGTTATACTAGTTATGATGCATCAGACAAGAAATAGTTTTGAGTAAATTTTCCTTGTACTACATGGATACCTTCGCGTTTTCGCAGGTCAAAATATTTTTTTTTTGGGTTTTATTTACTGATTTTTTTGCAAAATCTTTTAATTCGAAAAAAGGACGAAAGGTTAAAAAAAGCACATAGAGTTAATACGCGAATATAAAAAAAATTAAAAAAAAACTCATAAAGGGTACTATATGAACACTTCAATTCAATTTAAAATATTAATTTCTTAAATCAAAACATTAAATAATAATTTTATTAATATAATATATATAAATAAAATTAAAATAGTAAAAAATTATATTCTTTTATATATATATCGAAATGAATTTGGATAAAGCACCCTAAACACTCATTTGTCTAATATCATATCTTATAAAAAATTTGATTTGTATCAACTCAATCTTGATTTAAAAAAAAAATACTCTTTATTTGATTGAGATAAATTGAGAATCTATAAATACCAACTGTTTTGTCATTTCTATTAATCCATATCTTTTGTTATAAAATTTATCTAATTAGGATATATAAAAAATGAAATAAGAAAAAAAACAAATTCATCAACTCTGTTACAAAATTTATATAATTAAAAAGCAAAGAAAAAAACACATTGGGGTCTCACGTGGGCACTTTTATTGGGTTTTTTTTAACAAAGTTATCTAAATTTAAAATATAAATTTTTTTTTAAAACAAATTGACAAAAAAAGAAAAAAAAAGATGTTACATGATATCTTAAATTAAGATCAAACAAAAGTTAAAATGAGTAAAATTTATATGATGAATAGATGAATTATATCTTAATTATATATAAATATAGTATTTTTATTAGATTAAGATATTAAATAATAATTTTATTAATATAATAATATATAAATATAAAGTAAATAAATAATTAAAACTATATTTTTATATATGCTGCAGCAAGATAAAAAACTCTGAACCACTCTGATCTAATCTTAATTTAAAAAAGAAAAAACCTTGACCTGATCCCAAATTTTCAAAAACTTGCACACATTGAATTGAGTCAAATAAAAACTAATGGGATATTAGTTACTTTATCATTCCTACATCTATTGATTTTTGATTACAAAACTTTTCTAATTTTAAAAGTTAAAAACTTTTTCTTAAAAAAAAAAAAGAAATCATTGAAAAAAAAAAGAAACGAAAATGAAATGGGTATTCCATGTGGATTTATTAAATTAAAGGATTAAATAATAATTTTATGTAATACATATATAAATAAAAAATTAAATGAATAAAAAACATATATTTATATAGTTTTTGATAGGACGAAATACCCTAAATTCATATTTAATTTGACCTTGATTTTTGAAAAATAAATTTGATCGGATTCCAAATAAAAAAACTACATCTATTGGATCTGAATGAATTGAAACTCATTAAACACATGATTGTTGTGTTATACATACCTTTATTCTTTATTAAAATTTTCTTTAAAAATTTATTTATTAGTTTTTTATAAAAAATTTTTCTAATTAAAAAAATAAAAAAGGTGAAAGATGAAAAAAATGAAATAGGATAATGTGTGTACACATTCTTTAGCCTTTTATAAAAAAAAATGATTAAATTTAAAAAATGAATATAAAACATTAAAAAAAAGAAAAAAGAAAAAAATTGAGTTCTTATGCGATATTGCAATGATGATTTTTTTTATAAAATAATTTATATAATGAATTTTAAAAATAAAAACATAAAAAAGAATAAAAAAAATCAAATCCAGATGTAATGTTAACATCATTTTCTTTAAAAATTATAAATAAAAAAGTTACAAAAATATATATATGTTTCTAATAATAATATTAAATGGGCTAATATTTAAAAAATATTTATTAAATAGAAAAGAAATAAAAAATGAAAAAAAAAATCAAATGGCTTGATACATAACATACTCTTGATATCAAGTGAGTCTAAAAAAAATAAAAATTATTTATTAAATATATAAAAACAAAAAATAAAAAAACATGTGGCTTATTTTTAGTATCTATAATGAGTTTGTCATAAAAAATTTAAAATCTAAAAAAATTGTTTATTAAATTTTTTTAGAAGAAGAAAAAAGAGAATAAGTAAAAAAATGGTAAGAAGAAAAAGTGAAAAAAAAGTTTGGTATAAGTAGATCCTACGCTCAAAAAATAAAATCTTTTTAAAATATTTATTTTTTTGTAATTTTTTGGAAAATTCATTAAATATAAAAACAAAAAAAAAAAGAAAACTGAAAATAAAAAAACCAACAATAAAATAAAATGAGACTCGTACTAATTTATTTTAAAAAATAAGATAATTTATTAAATATCATCTATATATAAAAATGTGAACTTTAAAAGTGTTAATAGTTATTAACTTAAACACTCTTATAAATTTTTAAATTAATAAATTTATCTTTAAATATATAACTTTTGTTAATTTATTTAAATTTAAATTTTATTAATTTATTTAAATTTAATTTAAATCAACTAAAATTAAAAATAGAATTAATTAAATAAATTTAATTAAATATTTTTATAAATTTTAATTTAAATAAAATTTTTATTATTAGATTTTTTTTATAATTAGAATTCAAAAGTGTTAAAGGTGATTGACTATAATACCCTTAATAAAATTTTAATTCCAAAAATATGAAAAGTGATTGATTAAACTATCATTAGTAATTTTTTATAAATTTTAATTTAAATAAATTTTTTTATTATTAGACTCTTTTTCATAAGTAAAATGATTTTTCATTTTTCATAAAAAAAAATGATTTGTCATATTAAATAAAAATACTAATAGAAAGAGATTAAAGCTTAAAGTGCAGAGGAATAAAACAGAATGTATGGAGTTTGTTTGTTTAGTTGTTGTAAAAATAATTATATATGTAGTTTATATTGATAAATAAATTCATTAAAAATAATTATAATTAAATCATTTAAGTATATTTATTTTTTTTAATTTTTGCTTTTCAATTTTTTGTTTTAATATATTAACTATATATGTATGTTAATGATTTTATTATTTATATGCTTTAAGAGTGGATTGTTTAATCAGTGATAACATAATTAAATTTTTTATTTGCTTGAAATAATTATTTAATAAATCATTTTTATAGTTTTATTTGACCTCTATAATTAATTTTTCTTTTGTATTTTTTCTAGAATATTATAATTGTTATTCCCATGAAAAAAATCAATATCAAATTAAATACAAATTAATCAGTTGCACCCCTCCACCAACAATTAGCACTATATAATGTATTAAACACTTTAATTGGACTTTTTATCTGTAGCATTAGATGATTTTTGAAGTGGTGGAGCTACAAGAAGCTCAAAATTGGTTCTTTTCAAACTGTTATAAGAATTGTTCATATTAATTGAAACAATAATTGATTTAGTTTTCTCTAAACTTTTAGCTTAATATGCATATATATGATTAATTTATATTTTAAGATTGTTTAATCTTTTTCAATTGTATTAAATTGTTTTTTTTGTTTTGTGATTTTGGTGGTTGAACGACCTAATGTGAATTTTTATAAGTAAAAAATCATCAAGTGAAGTAAAATTAATTGTTTTAGGTGAATTTTTTTAAGGTGTTACAAAATTCATTGCAACTATTTTTTGAATGTATTTATGTCAAAGTTACATTCATTCATAAAAAGTTATGTTATTAATACTGAAATTGAAATTAATATAAATTTTGTAGGTATTGCATAAAAAGTTTGTTATTCTTAGAATTGAAATTTTCTTAAGAAAACATGACAAGTACCAAGGTTAAGAATTTATTTTATTTTTTAAAATTATATAGTTTAATATTTGTATACAATAAAATTTTTAAATAAAAGAAAATTTAATCTTTCAATTGATAGAATGTACAATTATATTTAGTTGATGAAAGTTTTATTATCAACTTCTATTTATAGTGCACTCAATTATTCACTTATGCATATGAGCAATTTTTACTTAATAATTAGTGTCTGTTTTTCTTTGTTTAAAAAACTGAATTCAAATTGTTATAAATCTAAATAAAAAAGAAATATACTCAATTGCTTATAATTAAGATTTCACTTTAAAAATACTCTTTCAATTAATTAACAAATTCAACTACAAAACCAATAAAAATAAGACATTGAATATGAAGGGAAAAAATTTTAAATAAGAAAAATTTAAATTATTATAGAAGATGAATAAGAAATATGGATGTTGATTATATAGTGGTAATTGTTTCAAGTTTGAGTTGATTAATCGATGTTGTTTTAACTATCTTTTATGATACCGATAATAAATTTCAAAATAAAATGAGAACACAATTTAAATGAAAATTTATCTGTAAAAGTAATGGAGATATTAATAATAATTCTAGAAAAATTTTCTTATACCTAAGTCTTGTAGAGATTAAAAGATATATTTCTTTTGAGGATTTTGAAATTTGTATTGATGAAGTGTTAATCTAGATCAACAGTTTATAATCGTTTATTTGTTAATCAAGTTGTTGCTATATGGGTCGAGAAAAATAATTCAAATATTTCATTGGAAATATATATTATGGTAGATACTCATTAAAAAAGACAACATAGAGTTAAATATTATTTTGGTTGTTATAACCTCTTACAATATTCTTTATTCATTTAAAATGGAGAAGTTAATTGGCATCAAAATATAAAAAAAGTCATTTTGAATAATAGTAATAAAAATGAAACAACAATTAAAAATATAATAATAAGAATGAAACAACAATTAAAATATAGTATCTTTTTGCTTAATAGAAGAAATTTTTTTAGGAGAATGCAAAAGTAATTATTGTGAATTTAATATTTTTATAAATTATAGTTTGCTTAATTTTTATAAATTTTATTTAATAAATTTGTTCTCATTACTTATATCATATATATAACAAATTTTTTAATCAAAGTTATATACTTAAAGATAGAAACATAAGGCAAAGTTTATTTTTCCATTGGTGACAAAATATTTCAAAATTTTCAATCTTTTATATGCAATTGTACTTCACCAACAAATATAAAAATATATACATTAATAATTCAATCAAATCATCAATAAAGCTTATCTTAATATATATTATTTTATCATGAATTAAAAAATTTGAAGAATATTTTAGAAATGTTGACTTAATATATACTGTATATATTTATTTAATTTAGGTTTAATACTTGTATTAATATAAAAGTTCTTATTTTAATTTATTATTATGCGTTAAATTACTAATAGTAAATTAAGAGCATTTATTCCTACTTTTGAAGTCATTTACATTTGAATTTTTTTATTTTTTTATTCTTTACATCATTTAGCATATATTCTAATTAATTTCTTTTTGAATATATAAAATTAATGATAACATTGTAGTAGATAATTAATAATTTAATAATTAATCATTAAAAACTTAAATGTAATTAATAAGTATAACTTAATAGTAATTATCGATAATTAGGGGTGAGTAAAAGTCGGTTTGAATCGACTAGACCGACCAAAACTGAGTGAATTTGATTGAATTGATTCAGTTTATTCGGTTTTAGTTATAATCGGTATTTTAAATCGGTTAAATTGATTAATTCGATCAATTTTAATTTTTAAAATTAATAACCGAACGACCGAATTAACCAACTTTCTAATAAGTAAAAGTAAAAAAAATTGAGATAAATATTTTTATTTATTTTTTTCTTGTAAAATATTGTTGAAATTATTAAATTCTTTAGTTATTTAGTTTGAATGATACTTGAGTTTGAATTTTATTAAATTGTATTTGTGGTTAAATAATTATTCATAATAGAAAAAAATGAGTATAACTTAATAGTAATTATCGATAATTAGGGGTAAGCAAAAGTCGGTTTGAATCCACTAGACCTACTAAAACTAAGTGAATTTGATTGAATTAATTTAGTTTATTCGGTTTTAGTTATAATCGATATTTTAAATCGGTTAATTCGGTCAATTTTTAATTTTTAAAATTAATAATCAAACTAACCGAATTAACCAACTTTCTAATAAATAAAAGTAAAAAAAATTGAGGTAAATATTTTTTTTTATTTTTTTCTTGTAAAATATTGTTGAAATTATTAAATTCTTTAGTTATTTAGTTTGAATGATACTTGATTTTGAATTTTATTAAATTGTATTGTGGTTAAATAATTATTCATAATAGAAAAAAATGACAAAAAAATCAGTTATTTAACCGAACTGATCGAATCGAACCGATTTTAGTTGGTTCGATTATGGTTAGTTATTTAATAATATTTGATCGGTTCGATTATTTGTTAAATGAAAGTCAGTTAAATCGGTTATTATTTTTTCAAATCAAATTGGTCGAACCGACTGATTACTTACCCTTATTGATAATTTAGTGAAAAATTAAAGATAACTTAATAATAAATGAATTATAATTTAGTAATTAATAATTGATAACCTTTTAGTAAATCCGTAATAAAACAATAATAAATGCATAATACCCTATTATAATATAGTTGTAAATGCAAAATAATATAGTACTAAATCAATGATAACTTAATAAAAAATAAGAGATAACTTAGTAGTTAATTATTGATAATTTAATAATAAATCAATGATAACTTATAGTAGATTAATTATAATTTAGTAGCAAATTAGTTTCAATTTAATAAATATTTAATTGATAGTAGTAAATCATAATTAACTTAATAATAAATCAATCATAAATTAGTAGTAAATTAGTATAACCTAGTAATAAATCATCAATAATATAATAATTAATCAGTGATACTTTAATAGTAAATCATGCATAATTTAATATAAGTCAGTAATACTTTGGTAATGACTCATAGAATTTAGGGGTAAATCGATGATAATTTTATAATAAGTAATTAAAAACTAAATAGTAAATCAATGATTACATAATAGTTAATATATAAAAATATAATAGTAAATTATTGATAATTTAGTAGTAAATTGATAACTTAGTAGTAAACTACTAATAACATAATACTAAATACTAATAACTTATAAATAAGTTATAATTTAGTAAATTAGTTAATTATTGATTTTTTTAATAAATCATTGGTAAATTTATAGTAAATTAGTTATAATTTTATAATAAATTATCAATAATTTAATGATAAATAAAGAACAATTAATGGTAAAATCATTCATAATTTAATGGCAAATCATTCATAAATTAATAGTAAATTTTTGATAATTTAGTAGTAAATTATTGATATTTTAGTAGTAAATAATTAATAACTTAATTGTCAATCATTGATATATATATTTTTATATTTGAGGTTGCTAAGAATTGAACCCTAGTTTCTAGGATAAATGAAATCAAAACTTTCATTTTAGGGGTTGGGATAAACCTATTATGAACTTATTCAACGAAAAAATTAATGAAAAAATTATAAATTTAAATAAAACAATAATGTTGTTATATAAAAAGAAAATGATCTCATATATTATTAGTGGTTTTTAACTTTCATGTTTCATAATTGTAAATGTATAACAACTTATTAGTAAATCAACGATAGGTTATTAAAAAAAGTGATAACTTAGTAGATAATAATTGATAACTTAATAATAAATCAATGATAACTTAAATAATAAATTAGTGATAACTTAATAGTAAATCAATTTTAATTTAATAGTAATAAACTAATAAACTTAGTAGTAAATAATAAATAACTTAATAGTAAATCAATGATAATTTAATAGTTAATCATAGGAAACTTAAAAAAAAATCAATATAACTTAGTAGTAGTTAATCAATAATAACTTAATAATAAATCATGGATAATTTAATATAAATTAGTAATAAATTGATAATAAATCATAGTTAATTTAGTAATAAATTTGTGATGATTTTGTAATAAATAATAAAAAAACTAAGTAGTAAATCAATGATAATATAGTAGTAAATGCTTAATAACATAATGGTAAATAATTGATAATTTAGATGTAAATTATTAATACTTAGTAGTAAATCATTAACAACTTAAGAGTTGTTTGGTATTGTTGTATGTTTTATATTTTATGTTTTTGAAAAGTTTTATTTTATTTTGTTTTCGTTTTATTTTCAGTGTATTGAATTTGAAAATATGTTTGGATCGAATGTTTTTGTTTTGAAATATGAAAACAAATATTTCAAAACAAAAACATGTTTGAGAAAGTGGTTAAGCTTCATTTGTTATTAATAATATAATAATATTATTAATATATTATAATAGTATTTTTAAATATATTATAAAATTATTTATTAATATATTATATTAATAATATATTAATAAATAGTATTATGTTTATTATATAAATAATATTATATTAATAAATAATATAATTTTATTTATTAATAATATTTATATAATAAAAATATTACTTTATTAATATAATAATTGTAGCTTCATCGTAGTGGTTTAATTGTAAATTTTATGAATAGTGCTCATGTCGCAACAGTGTTAAATTGTTTAAAAAAAACTAAAAACACCATTTTTTTTTCTTTATTCGACATGTTTTTAGTTTTAAAAAACAACAAATAAAAACAATTTACCAAATATGTTTTTGTTTTCAATTTTTAAAAAAACTAAAAACAAAAATGGAAAATAGAAAACGGAAACAAAAACAAATGATCATTTAGTTGTAAATCAGTAATAATTTAATAGTAAATTAATTAATTATTGATAATTTTATAGTAAATTATTGAAAAAATAATAGTAAATTAATTATAACTTTATAACAAATTATCAGTAACTTAGTAATAAATTATCAATAATTTAATAGTAAATTAATCATAATTTAATAATAAATCATTAATAATTTAGCAATATATCATTGATAGCTTAATAGTAAATCGTTGATAACATAGTAATAAATCAATGATAATTGTCTTCAGTTGCTTGGCCTAATAGTCAAGATAACCTTAAATAAGACATCGAGGTTGGGGTTCGAACCCCAACCTTCCTCCCTCCCCCTTAATGTAGGGTTCTGCTGGTCTTGAATGATAAAAAAAAAAAATGATAACTTAATTGTCAATTATTGATGAATTTTTTTTATATTTAAAATTGTTAGGAATTGAATCTTGGTTACTAACAAAAATGGAGCTAAATATTTAATCTTAGAAGGTTAGGATAAACTTACCATAAATCTATTCAATAAAAAAATTTACTGAAAAAATTCTAATTTACGATGACAAATTTTATCAATAATTATCAAAAGTATATTATAAATTATCATAATGTTACTAAAATTTTATCAAGATGTTACTAAAATTTTATCAAAAGTTACCAAATTGTATTAATAGTTACTAAAATTGTATGAAAAATTACTAAAATTTTATAAAAAATTATCGAAATCAAAATTATATAAAAAGGTAATCAAATTTTATTTGGTTGCATTGCACCGAGTTGCTACTGCATTTAATTGAGGGAATAAATAAACTTCCTTACCTGTATTTTGTACTTGGGTATGGCCCAGGTCTGTAGTCTGATTTTATCAAATCGATTCCTTTCAACAAGAAAAGTGCGCCCATAAATCCAAGTAAGCATCATGGACCACAGCGTAACAGGCCACAACAGCCAGAAGTAGCAAGTCGAGGAGTATGGTTTGGAGGCCAAGGAGGCAAATCCAAGGCGGAGATGATAGATTGACTCAGGTGTGGTTAGGTGCGTTAGATGCACCACGTTGGGTGATTCCTCTTTTCTTTTGAGTGAATTTTCATACAAATTATCAGAAGATTTGTCCATTGTTCCATAGATGTAATCATAAATTGGCATAAATAGCGAGTAGTTGGTTCTGAACTGTGTGTGGTGCAGCGAGTGAAACCTGCCATTGTCAAATATTTTGTGTTAATAATTATGACCATGATTGATCAGTAGACATTTTAGTATTATTATGCTAAGAAAACTTGCTATACGAGTAGGCAATTGGCATGAGAGGAGAGAGAGAGGAATTCCTTGCAAGATTTTCAACTGGCCCGAGACAAACGAATATGACGCGACACAAACAAAATGGATTTGGGGGGGGGGGGGGGGTGTTAATGGAAGAAGAAAAACAGATGAGAGATTAGTTGAGAAATGAGACACTTGGCAATTGAAAGCAAACAACTTCAATACCAGAACATGAATTATCAACTTATTATATCGAAAGCGATCTTGAATGAGTCAGAACTTGTTTATAAAGTTGTTCCAAATGTTTGGAACCAAATAGGCCAACACATATCCTTCTAATAAATACTCCAAATGACTCGGCAACATAAGACATCTATGTTCTACACGTCAATCAAACTAGTTAGCTCAGCTGAGATCCTGAGAGTGAGAGGTTTTGGGATGAGCAAGGGTAATCAGTATCACTACGATTACCGACTAAATTGGTTGGCAGCAGGCAAAAGGCCCACAGACCAAACTGCCTTCTCCATTTTTCAAATCCCTTTCTTTCATGTTTCCTGCTCTGTACTGAATTGGTTTTTTTAAACATAAAATATACGAGTAATAAATTTGTTCATAAATTTTTACCCATGTTCTCTCTCTCTCTCTCTTTTTTTTTTTTGTTTGTTTGTCTGCAAGTCTGATGCATTTACTCCATATATAAGAATAAAAATTTTTCTAGGTAGATGATGCTTAGTTTAAAGTGCAATAAAATAATACATATTATGGTTCATGAATTAGTCCTATTCCTCTAGCATGGCAGATTTCATAAATATAGAAACTAGAAAGCTTAGCAACGCCAAGTAAAAGGCTGCGAGTAGCATTAATTGATTTTAGTTTGATTGTGATGAATTAATCGTACAGGAGCAGGGCCATTGAATTGTGGGAGTGCTGAAAGTATTTTTAGTAAAATAAAACTACGGTACTAGCAATTTCTCTTCCCCAGATGGAGTCTAGAGTTTTTGAGTTTCCTTGCAATTTTATTCTAAGTAGCATCCAAAAGAGTTTAGCTAAAGATTTGAACATAAAACACTATTATGAAGAGAGAGATGACATACGATGGAGTGTACATGAGGTACTTGAGAGGGGGGAAAATGAAGAAAAGGCGCCTGGGAATGAGCTCGAAATTGCAGTGGCCCATGTTGTTCATCAAGTCCACGTAAGTGATGTAGGCAGCTAAGGCAACGATGGACCCATCTCCACTTACCACGATTGTCAACAATGGTATTGCAAACAGGGCGAAGTATGCTATGTGCTCTGCAAATGGATGAATCACCGCTGCCACAAACCCAGAGATAGACGCATCTTGTCATAATCGGATCAACTTTTCTTTCTTTTCTTAACAAAAACAATTTGGCAATTACATATAGGTTAATTTAAGTACATACAAAAGTAAATAAAAAAAAGGAAAGGGATAAACCAGAACAAAATAAAAAAAAAAATTCTCTTTTTGTTTTAAATTGTTTTTTCCACATTTGATTTTCCTTTTTTCTTTTGGTTGTTGTTAAACAAGACCGCTATTAAATAAAAAAAAACAAAACAAAACAAAACAAAAGACGTTATGCGTGTGGTTTCTTTTAATATCATGTGAAAATTTAAATATAAAAATATACGGTAAAGTTAAAAAATAAAAAGAAATTCCATTTTAATGTTTAAAAATTAAAAAAGAAAAAAAAAAGAGAGATTAATTTTGTAAAAATGCATGTGGGATATATATGAAGAAGCGGATGGAGGTAGGTCTTGCTCTTACAAGTAATAGGCTCAGTGACAATGGAGGAATGGTGATGAGAATGGTAGCGAGAGTAAAGGTAATGGTGGTGCAGTGCTCTATGAAGCCAGTAGTAAAGGAACTCCACAGGGCCCGCATGGAGCAACATAGTTATAATCAAGCCATCCATTTTCCAAAAGGGTAAGTGAGAAGCTCCAGGAATATATTTGTTCCCCAAGTAAAACAGGATTGCATTGAACAATATTTGATCATCCCTGCCAAAACAAAACAGAATATCATATGTAGACATGATCTTCTCGTCATTACATTAGATTTTCCTATATACATGCATATATATATATATATATATATATATACATGTCCTGTACTCTTAGATTTTATTAATTTTGTTACTGACCAGTTCCTTTCCCTGTCGACTTGGTCAAATTCAATACCCTTGTCCACAATCCTGTTGCTGCCTTTGGCAGTTCGATAACGAGAAAGGCTAATCCATAGCTGGCTGTGAAGCATTCTCCATAACATAAGTGGGAATATATAAAGGTTGGTAAAGTCCCTCTCCTTTTCATCCTTAACTCTAAACGAGTATATGCTCTCCACAATCCAGGGAACCAGGATTATGTACTGAAAAAATCCATGAAACAACAAAAAAAAAGCGTTAGATGAAACATGTACCTATATATCCATGCAACTTGCATGAAAATGAGACTGAGAAACAATGGGAGCAAAATTAAAAGTCAAGGAGACCTTAAAGCTTCCGAGCGGCGTCCACGGCCAGTCCGTGAGAATTCCTGGTTTAGAAGCCATGCTTTACCGGTTTCTCTGCAAATGGCTCTGGAAGGGTATCTTATTATATAGTCCAACTAGTGTTAGGTTTGTATGTGTAGGATTATACAGTGTATCCAAGCTGTCACCGGGTAAATTAGAAATCTTTTTAATCAATAACCCTTACAGATTGAGACGTGATGGTCCTTTCTTTATCATGATTTAATTCTCGTTGCGAAAATCAGACATAAACCTAAAGTGACCAATCCATATATATGAAACTAACTTACGCAATCTGTTAAAGATGCCTGTCACTTTGCTATTTTAATCACTATCTTAACTCATCTCTTTATTGTTCTCAACTGCTTCAGCTGGTATATTATATTAAGGTCAAATATGTCTTTCAGCTCATCATTTTATTTTTCCATTTTAATATCTGAACCAAAATAATACCTAAACTTGCCTCTAACTGTGCCAGAAAATGTGTGTGCTGCATAGCTACAAGCTCATGCAAATTGCAATGTAGCTCATGCAATTTGCATTGTTTAAGCCTTCGGTTTCCTCCACGCATGCGCTAAATCCCAGTGTGCTAGGCATGATGATAATTGATGACTCCACTACGCGCAGGCTTCAAATCACTATCAAGCAAATTAATTATCTGACATCCGGCAGGCAGATATCACAAAAGCAATATGCATAGTTTGGACTGCTAAGATTTCATCAAATGGTTTAGACTTTAGATTCAACTATTGATTTTATAGCAGTACAGTATGTATTATCAATAATTCAATCTTAGATTAGACAGATAAGGTCCAACTTTGAGCCAGTAAAATTAAGCTATTTGGCAATTAATTAGTAGACTTTCAAGCATTTATATATAATATATATATCTTGTTTCATTATTTATCTGTCTTGATTACTTTGAGTTCAATTTCGAACATACACTATAAGAAAATGACGTATTAGCGGCAGTTTTATAACGGTCATTCACTCAAACGTTGCTAGTTTCTATGTTTTCATAAAATTTAAGACGTTTATTATTAAAACGTCATAAATTTTAAATAGCGGCGTTATTATTTATAAACGCTACCCAAGACTTGATATCAACGGCGTTTCTCGAATAAAATGCCCTGAATAATCTTGCCTTAAAAATTTCAATGAATACTAAATGTGTGTTTTTAGCAGACAATGCCTTTAATAATAATTTAAAAAAAATTGTATGAGATTATTGAAGGCATTTTCTATAAGAAACACCTTTAATAATTAAACAAAAAAATTCATAGGCTTATTGAAGTCGTTTTTGCTAAAAAAGACCTTCAATAAATATCATATCAAAATGTTTTAATCGTACGGATATTAACCATAAAGTTGTAGGTTTGATCCCTTCCTTTAGCCTTTTATGGGTTTTTGCAGAGATTATTTGCAATTGATTATTGTAGGCGCCTTCACCAATTGCTTTAAAAAATTTTGCAGAAAATATTAAAGGCATTTTTTTGCATAGAAACGCCCTTAATAATCCATAAGAAAAATATGGAACCGATTCTTGAAGGCATTTTTGATCAAACTTGCCTTTTATACTCTAATCAATAAATTTTTATTGTGATTATTAAAGACGATTTTTATCAAAAACGCCATCAATAATCCATAGCCAAAAGTTTGAATGAATGATTGAAGGCGTTTTTGGCTCAAAACGCCTTTAATATTCCAGATGAAACTTTTAATGGTTGGATTATTGAAGGCGGTTATTTTCATAAACGCCTTCAACAAAATTTTATTAGAGATTATTCAAGGTGTTACTCGTAGACAAATGCCTTTCATAATTCATTCGATTAATTTTTAATTGGTATTATTGAAGGCGTTTTAAAAAACGCCTTCAATAATTTATACAAAAAAGATGAGACGGATTCTTGAAGGTGTTTTTTTGCTCAAAATGCCTTTAATATTCCACACAATAAATTTTTGGTGGGATTATTGAAGGCGGTTTTGGTAAAAAATGTCATTACTATTCCAAACGATAAATTTTGATAGTCGGATTATTAAATGTGGTTATATCTGGAAACACCTTCAATAACATTTTGTTAGGGATTATTGAAGGCATTAACTGTAGGAAAACGTCCTTCATAATCCATTCGATTAATTTTTAGTTAGTTTTATTGAAGCCGTTTTTTAAAACACCTTCAATAATCCATACCAAAAAGGCACGACGGATTCTTGAAAGCATTTTTTTTCCCAAAATGCTTTTAATATTTCATACAATTAATTTTTGATGTGATTATCAAAGGCAGTTTTGGTTAAAAACAGCTTCAAAATTTTTTGTTATGGATGATTCAAGGCTTTTTCTTGCTAAAAACGCTTTCAATAATCCGATCAAGAAAATATATTTGATATTATACATGTCAAGGCAATTGTAGGTTTATGCTCAAAACACATTTGCTATCAGTTGTATATTAATGCCCAGAAAATATTTGGTTTTTATATATAATACTACGAATTACATTTTGGATTTTACATAATGAACATTGTTGTATTTCAATAAATTGACCACACATTCAAAATTAAAACTGATAATGTTGTCATATTAATATACTTTTTTGAAAAAATCATACTCAATAGTTTATTAAGTACACAGTGTATTCATATTAAGTATAACAATAATATTAAACCAATACCCCAATGTATAAACCTAAAGTTTCCATTCAACATGGCATGTTCAAAACATTATAGCACTTAGTTCCTTATATATTTACATTCAACCAACAATGTCTAACCTGAAGGTTTATCAACATTGATAAATGATAATACATAATCACACTATTCTTTATAGACTTCATCCACTTCCTCTTCCGTGAAGCTTTCTTTACTCTCCCACTAAAAAATAAAATCAAAAGTAAATGCTAAGAAATGAGAACATAATATACCTTTTTATTTTTTTGAAGATATAACAAGTTTATGAGATTTATACTAACCTTGAATGGTGTGGTCATAAAATCATATAACACTATCTCCCGTATAAAACGAAGGATATAAAATCCACATTCAGTATTACCATATTGATGAGGCATCTGAAAATTAAATTGAATGGGTATAAAAAATATTTATCTACACAAACTCAGTATAAAAGAATATATTTCACATTTACTAGTAATGACACCCATTTCGATTTCTTTATCTTTTATCGAATGAAGATATTACCCGAAATTGAAAAGAAAAAATTACTTAATACATAAATAAAATTACTTATGAAGAAACAGAAGATATATAATATAATAAAGTGTAATACCTTTTTATAAAAGTTTGAATATCGGTGTTAGCCATCGTCGTTGGATTAATTGAATTAAGTAAGTATGGCATTAAGGATTTTGTGTCAATCACAATAAGCACCCAATGACGACTGCAAAATAATAACAATCATATACTCAGATTATGCATCAGATCAAATTTGGGTAAGGTTGGAGTAATTAAAGTTGGAATATAGCTTACTGCGAATTATACAGGAGCAAATAATAATCAGTCAGTGTTTTCATGCATAGGATCACATGATTAGCACGATAAGTGACTGTCCCACTCTGCTCACTAATGAAATTGGGGTCAATGAATCTAAATCTATTGCTTAACTATCTCCCATTGAGCTCTCTATATAGAAAGCTGTACGATAACAATCAACACTGCCAGTTAGTATTACAACTTAATATAGATTACTACATATTGAATGTGCATATTTGTATTTATAAGCTAACCTTATATAAATAATGATCTTAGCAGCTGATAATTCATCCAGTTCATAAAATTCTTTAACCTCCTCCACACCAATGAAAGAAAATGATAGTTTATCAAATAACCCTTCATCAAACTCAATGGTTATGAACTTTCCTTTGAAAAAATATTCCAGCGAATATTTGGATAATTCATCTATGAAAGCCTGAGCAAGGATCATACTGTGAGTCTGAACATCCTACTATAATATTTAATGAAATATAAGTATTAAAACCAAATCAATCAATATAATAAACAAATTAATATTGAATTTATAAACAATATCATACTTCTTGGGTGGTAGTGGATGATGGAACTACTTTCTTACTTGCAACAAAAGCTTCTTTTATGCGGATGATGCTGTTAGACCAGTGTACTGGTATGTTATGCTACATTGCTGCCAACATGGACTCCAAAGCAACGAGTCTTTACTGTTTCTCATTGAGGCATTGTTTCTGGTCATCAATTCGTTATTGTTATTGCTCAAATGATTGCTTCATATTGTGCATTTCTCATTCATAGGTTTTTTGTTGATTACCAAAAAACTTTGATGGCAAGATAAATTTATCAACACCATGAACCTGACTAGGCCTTTCTTTAGCTCCTAATGCTAAAGACAAAGGATTTTCGTCATACTGGGTTGCTAGTTCACCAGATTGGACTTTGGTAGCATAATCATCTTGAAAGACACTAATAAGATGGGCTATAACAATAAATCTATATAAGCTAGTATACACTCATACATACAACCACACTATCAATCATACATTATATTAAAAAAATAGTTATACATACAATCTTTTATGCCATTTCCTCAGTTGCTTTATTTGTAAAGGATCCATCCTTCCGTAGATGTCCTTATTTCCAGACATCCTATCTGAAAACTTCTGTGTCAGAGCTCGCTGATTTTTGTTAAATTACTACAATAAAAGAATCAAAATGTATGAAATGAATGTTCATAAATATTCATTAATGAGTATAAAACAAGTGTGCGAATATATACCAGCTCATGCTTCACATTTACATATCTCTTTTTCGCTGTTCGATGGTGATATTGTTATTTAGCCCGAATGTCCCATTGCTGTTCTTTGATTTTTTACAAAATCAAGAAATTACGTTAATCACATATGAATATTAAAGGCTATATTGCATAAAGACTTATAAATAAATTTTTTGGTAATGGGTTTACGTACTGCAAAGTTTTTTAAAAGTTGATTTTGAACAAATTTTGTCCAATCTTCAACACTTATCACATCTGCATATGCTGCAGGTGGAACAGTCAATACATCACCTTCACCAACCAGC